AGTAAATATTGTAGCATAATTTATTTGGAATTTTCATATCATATTTAGAAATGAAAGGTTTATAAGTTCCAAGTTGAAAGTGTCTGTTTATTGGAATTTTAACTTGAATGTTAAATCAATTAAATTTGCACTTAAGAGTGGCCTGATGATGGCTATAGCATAGCAACTGAAAGCTTGAAAAAAAAATTGTGTATTTAGCAATGATAAAGTATCTATAATTATTTCAATTTCTAAAAACATTATATTATAAATAAAACAGTTAAAGCATGCAGCCTTTCATTTATTTTTGAAACTTAATTCCCCACAACCATTGCAATGTTAATTGTATCAAAACGTTTGGCCAAAAAAATTTACAATATGGAATTATTAATAATTTTTCAATTAATATTAGTTTCCGATACATCAGAAAACAATTTTAACATGATGTGATAAAGCACTGACATACCACTTCATTCTCATTAAAAAACACAAGTAATTATCAACTAAAAATTTAAATTCCTTTATATTTTGGTAATATAATAAAGTACAATTTTTTATACTTTTTTCTATTATACAAGAAATATAACAAAAATATACTTCTAATATTTTTTAAAATATTTTTACTTAAATTTTTATTTAATAATTCATGGAAAAAGTACATAGTACACAGTAAGAATGGATAGATAATGATAATTATTAAATGAATATTTTAACTGAATGTGTTTGGAGTTGGTCCATTGGGATGTTGACTATAATTCTGAATTTACTATGTGTATCTACATAAAATGTGGCAAGCTTTTATTAAAATGTTCAAGTCTGTTGTATACAAAAAATGAGATATGTTACAAAAATATTTGTACTCAAACAATGTGAAGAACTTAAACTTCTGCATGCAAAGGGTGCAGTTGGCAAACAGGATTTCAAGGGTACTAAGAAAGGAAATATGGAAAAAAACTTGGAAAATAATGCACTTAAGGGCAAGGATGGACTTGGGTTTAGGTTAAGCAACCAGTTCCAAACATTTGCTAGTAATGAGGGGGAGCAGGTAAGGGAAACAGATGAGATCACAAGGGATGATAATGTAAAGGATAGGAAACTTATAGTTGTAGGTGATTCTCCAGTTAGGCATGTAGATAGAGTAGTATGTGGAGAAAATAAAAGAATACTCGTACAGGATATAACTGATAGAACCAAAAAGATAGTTAAGGATGCTAGCAGCAATATAGTTTTTCTGGTACATGTTGGGGGCTAATGATGTAAAAAAAGATGGATCTCAGGAACTTATTGATAAGTATAAAACATTGATATGGTCATTTAAGTGAAGGGAGTTATAGCTTGATTTTGTCAAGGATATTGCCAAGAATAAGTTTTGGGGATGAGATACTAATTAGGTCACTAGGATTGAATGCTAGGCTTAGATCAATATGTAGGGATGAGCACGTAGACTGGTTGGACTTGTGGGATAATTTTAATGGTAAAGTTAATCTTTTTGGAATGGATGGCTTACACTTAAACAAGGCATGGGTTGGTATGTTAACAAGAACTACTAACTCAGCTTTAGTGGTTGATTTAAACTAGGGTTAGACAGAGGTGAGGGCTACGATATTAATAAAATAGGAAATATAATTGAGAGGAAAACATGTACAACAGGCATAAAACATTAACATATTTTAAAATCTATGATTAATTGTTACTACTGTAATGCTAGAAGTATCAGAAATAAAACTGATGAGTTCAAAGCATTTGTGGAAACTGAGGATTTTTATATTATGGGTATCACTGAGACTTGGTTGGATTTGAACAATGTTGATGAAAGAAATGTTTTTGAAGTATCAGGCTACAGATTATTTATTAGAGATAGAGTATTGAAAAAAGGGGGAGGAGTAGCTTTATATGTGAGGAATGAATTGCATCCTGTTGAGTTAGAGCATAATAAAGAAAATAACACTGAGGTTGTCAGTTTGGGTTGGTGTTAGTGGATATAAAGAGAAAAGTCTTGTAATTGTGATTTGTTATAGACCACCAGATCAGAATGTGGAAGTTAATGAGAAACTGTATAATGATATCAGAATGGTAGCTGAAAAAGATGTTGTTATTATGGGAGATTTTAATTTCAGAGGTATTGATTGGGAAAATTTCGAGTTTGACAGTGAGGGGGTTAGGCTTTTGGAAATTGTTCAGGATACTTTCATACACCAACTGGTGATGGAACCTAGAAGAGAGGAAGATATATTAGAGTTAATATTAGCATCCGATGTGAATATGATAGACAGAGTTATGGTTGATGAGCATTTAAGTACAAGTAACCATTGCACTATTACATTTGGGATTTTATTACATGTAAAATTGAAGAAAAATAGTACCCTGATTCCAAATTTCAGGAAAGCCAATTTTGATTAAATGAGACATGATCTGGCTTCTGTAGATTGGACTAAAGAGTTGGGAGGGGATCTTGAACAGATGTGAGTAACATTTAGGGAAAAAATGATATGTGTACAGAACATACATAATTCCAACAGAAAAAAAAGGGCAAAAGAGCTGAATAAGCCAGTATGGTTTAGTGAAGGTTTAAGAGATTATATTAAGGATAAATAAAAAAATTCAAGAAATTTAAACTTACTGGAAATAATAAGGACTTGGAAGATTATAGGAAAACAAGAGAGCTGGTTAAAAAGGAAGTTAAAATGGCAAGAACTGTATAAGAAAGAGGGTTGGCTGAGAGAGCTAAATCAAATGATTAGGAATTCTTTAGATATATGATGGGTAAGCAAAATGTTAGGGTGGGGATTGGGTCTCTTAAAAATGATAGTGGGGAGCTGATCTTTGAAGATTATGAGATTGTAAACTTATTAAAATGTATATTCTCTTCAGTTTTTATAAAGGAAGATACAATTATTATGCTTCAACCAGAGCACTTAATGTATGGGGAAAATATTGATGTAAAAGATATCATTTTAAGTTCTGAAATTGTATGAGAAAAGTTGGGAAACCTAAAAATTGGGCCAGACAACTTTTATCCTAAAATTTTAAAGGAACTTAAAATATTTGATTTGTGAACCTCTAGCTAATATTTTTATAGGTCATTGAGTAGTGGAAGATTATTAGAAGATTGGACATCGGCTAATGTTAGTACCATGTTTAAAAGAGGTGACAAACATTGTCCAGGCAATCATAGGCCAGTTAGTCTTACATCATTTGGAGAGTAACATCAGTAACTGGAAAGGTTTTGGTGAGTGTGATTAAAGATGCATTGCAGAATCACTTAAATCAGTTAGATATAGTGTCAAAGAGCCAGCATGGTTTCACTAAAGGAAAGTCTTGTTTAACAAATCTTCAGACATTCTCTGAGGATGTTACTGTAAGAATTGATGAAGGTAATACTGTGGATTTGGTTTACCTTGATTTTCAGAAAGCATTTGATAAGGTGCCTCACAAACGACTTGTTACAAAAATAAAATCTGTGGGTGTGGGGGAAATGTTATTAAATTGGATAGACAACTGGCTGGAGAGTAGAAAGCAAAGAGTAGTATTAAATGGAGTTAGATCTGACTGTATCACAGTTATATGCAGTGTGCCTCAGGGCTCTGTGCTGGATACTCTGCTGTTTGTGATTTATATTAATGATATTGACTCTGGAATGACTAACAAAATTTTGAAGTTTGCAGATTACATTAACATTTTAGGGGTGGCTAACTGTATCATAGATGCTACAGACTTACAGGGAGATTTAGATCATTTGATGCATTGGGCCAATATGTGGCAGATGATATTTAACTATTCAAAATGTAAGGTGATGCATGTAGGTTTTCACAATTCAAATTATTGTTACAATTTAAATGGGAATATATTAAATACTGTGGTTGAAGAAAAAGATCTTGGTGTTGTGATTGAAAAATCATTTAAGTCATCAAAACAGTGTATTGTAGCTAGCAATAAGGCTAATTGGATTTTAGGTAGCATCTATAGAAACACTGAATACAAGACATGGGATATTATTGTTTCACTGTATAGATCACTTGTAAGGCCTCATTTAGAGTACTGTGTACAGTTTTGGGCTCCCTTCCTCACGAAGGACATTCAATTGTTGGAAAAGGTTGAGAGAAGAGCCACTAGTATGATACATGGGATGGTGGAATTGTCTTATGAGGAGAGACTAAAATCTCTAAACTTGTTTTCTGTGGAGAGGAGAAGGGTCAGAGGGGAATTGATCGAGGTGTTTAAGATTATTAAGGGTATTGATAATATAGATCCATCAAACGTTTTTGTGTTTAGCAGTGAAAACAACAGGACAAGGGGTCATAAATTCAAATTTTGGCAGTGTAGAAATCGTCTGCAGTTAAGACAGTATTACTTTTCAAACAGGATGGTTGGCTTTTGGAATAAGTTGCCTTGAAGGGTGGTGGAGGCTGAAAATTTAATTGAGTTCAAGAAAAGATTGGATGAATACATGAGTAATAAGGGGTGGTTATAGTTGAGAGCTGGAAGGGACATCGTCGATGGGCTAATAAGCTCCTTTTTGAAACTTATGAAATATGTCTATGAATAGATGATGTCAGTATGACCCACACTTTGACAAGTTGGAGTGCAATATGATGTTCATGTGAAGAATATAAATACTTTTGTCCATCATATAGTTTGAATACTGTATTTGCATAACCTCTAGAATCTCCAAAATGCATCGTATAATTTTTTCAGTATCCCTGTATATTGTATCTGGCATTTACTTTCCTCTACCATGAACTGTTGCTAAGTCAGCAATGTGGGTAAAATGAATAGTTGATAACTCTGACATGAAATACATGATACTATGTTGAAAGGCACTCTGCAAATGGTCATGGCAACACTTTGCCCAACACCCATGTACCTAGGGTTAGAAATGATGTGATGAAAGCATTTAAAAGTTAATATAAAGATCCTAATTTATTAGTATATAATTACTTAATAACTGACATGTACATGCAAGAATGATGATACTAAACATAGTTTGAAAACAAAAATACATAAAATTCACTGTAAGTTACCTTCAAAACTTTCGATTTGGCTGCAACAAGAGTATGGATCACCATTTTACAATCATGACCATTGATCTGCTCCATGATTGAGCTAAATTTTGCAACCAAATGTCGCCAGTGCTCAAGCTCTGCCAGTGGACCTGTGTCATCAGCTTCCTTCCTCATCTGTTCACTCTCCGCAAGAACCTAAATTAAATTTTAGAAGAATCAATTTTTATACTAAAAATTAAAATTATAACAAACTTCTTACTGTAAAAAATATTTACAATGGATGGTAATTTTTTCATTAATATACATTTATATATTATTACTCATTTTTAGATATAGTTATTACGCTATGAAATTTTATAGTTTACGACATAACAGAAATTACCTTGCTTCTTTTTAGTTAGAAGATTAATAATTAAAAAATATAAGGTATACAAAATATTATTTTTCATACACATTGGTTGTAAATACAACACATTATTAATTTGAGATTCAATACCAGTTCAATCTGCTTGCTCCAAATTAGCACAAGCTCTTCAATGATAGCCAACTTTTGTGGATTAGTTGCAAGGTTGATACAATCATGCACATTCTTCATTTGTGAAAGATCAAGGATAGCAGATTCCTTTAAAGTTGCTTGACACTGAATATCTTTCTTGCATTCTAAAACAAATATATCTAACATCAAGTTTTCAAGCCATTTGTTTGAGCTGTAATATATATTTTTAAATCTGTTACAATATTCAAACATGCCAACACTATTAGACAGACTCCTGGATAATTTGTTTCAATATTATAAGAAAAATGAACTGATGAGCAAACTAGAGTTACAAAATACATGATGAACCAAGCCCTAAATACCTCTTCCCTCTAAATAAGAAACTTACAGACCAAACAGTATTAGGCTAACTGAATCTTAGACACAAATGTAGCTCTATTTTAAAAGGATTTTATATGTAAAAATAGGATTATGTGTGTGTATATGACTGTTAAGTGGAACTGTACTGTCAACACAGACTAATAGTGCAATCATGCATAAGTGAAGCTAGTGAAAATATACAAGTTGATATTACCCCATGAACTGGACATGGCACAATAAGAGTATGTATGTTAATTAAAACTGCAGACAACTGACAAAAGTTAACATACTGTGAGTAATGGAACAATGTAATAAGAGTGCTTACCTAGGATTCAGTAATAATGCAAACAAAATAGCAATTCCTGAGAGGGAGGAAGAGGTCAACCGTGAACCTGACCCTCCCTGGTCCAAAACATGGACTAAATCCCGATAAAGAAGAAAGAATCAGCTACAAATATACAACCTATCAATAAGTAAATATGATGACGTATGCAAATAACCTTAACAAGTATAGTTCAGTTTAAAGTACAGAATACAAAAAGTCATGCCAAGTATAAATTAATCCCAAGAATTAACTGCATTTAAATGAGACCACATAACTGTACAATAGGAAGGTACTCAAAGTCTGTGAAAAGTCACTAGATCACTTGTAATATTACTGTCTACAGTAAATACGGTAACAATGCAGTTCCAGTAACTTTGAAAATAATGGTTTTTGCATGGCACAGGCACCCAAAACCAACAGAACAAACTCTTTGTGTTATGAGGAAAATATGGAGGATGATCCACATCAAAACAGCTACTATTGTTGCAAGATAGAGGCAAATGTACTCCAATATTTTCAGAAGTTATCTTTGTATCACGGGCTACAATGACAAAGTAGGTGGAAGAAAACCAATTCTGATTCCAGCAATATCATAGCTTGATAATAATGGAAACCACAGATACTATCTCACTCTACTGCCTTTTGTGATATTGATATTTCTTTCAAAGAATCCAGATTGGTGCAATTCTCTGACAGTGAATGCACTTTGGTTTGGCAAATATGCTTCTAGGGTTTACTTTTGTTGAACCCTCTGCAAGCTACAACAAAATATGGAAGTATTCATGTTATGGTATCATTTGAATGGCTAGACAATCATAGCTGATATTATGTTGCTCAGCACACACAATTTTCAAGCAAAGCCTTCTGCCTTAAATACTACAAAGAGTGGATCTATTACATACTAACAGTGACCTTGTACCCTTTTGTTTCATGTTTATCAAATAAAATTACAGTTTTCTATGTCTTAATTATCTGTGTCACAGTGAGTGATTCACATTAAATTTAGGTTATAAAGTTTAAGTAATGGTACTTATAAAAACTAGAATTGAAAACAAAAATATTATGAACAATACCATAAACAAAGTTAACATTCATACACATTTTGTATCATACTAAATGCTGTAAAAAAATCAAAAATCTATTTGCATTTGTAGCAGTTCTAAAAATTTTAAAACTAAAATATATGCATTTGCTGTGTACATTATATGTTATATAATTTTCACAAATATACATTTTCTAATTATTTTGTGATAATATTAAATAAATAATAATTTACTGAGATAATTTATAAAAACAAAACAATGTATTAACCAGTACAATGTACATTTAATCTTGAATTAATCCAAAGTAAAAGTAAATTGAAATTATGTATCATTTTCATGACTTATCTTTATTATAAAAAAGAAGATAATATTGTTACGTCTCTGTATGTTTGTTTGTTAATTCTTCTAAGATACAAGTCCTTTCTTTATAAAACTTGTTTATTCTTCCTCAATACAACTTTGTAATTTACTTAATTTTCCTTAATTGTTCCCAATGCCTAAAGTTATTATTTTCCTGTATAAAAATATATTTCTGATAGGTACTTACCTCCTCTCACATGTATAGCTATTCTCGTTCAGTGCTGCCCTCTGTATAAATAAATGTTTT